TCCCTACATGCTTTACCTGATTAAAGAAAATACTTCAATCAATAGGAAAAAAGGACCCCTACCGTCTGATGATATAAGCTAAATTTTTTGTGAACTTACCTACTGAATGTTAGCAAATATGAAAGGCAAAAACGTCAATTGGCTTCGGTGTGCGTGAAAAGCGTATTGTTTGTAAATATGCATTTCAGTGTTCAAATTCTAAGGAGTGTATCAGTGTTTGGGATTTGCTTTACATGGTATAGTAGCAGTCAGGGGCGAAGCTACAGTGTAGCAAGGGTGGTCAACTGACCACCCTTACGTCGAAAAATTCACTGTATATTAGATCACGCCAACTATGCCTCTAAAAGCAAAGCGGNGAGGCCGTTGCAAATATAATTCGGTTTTAAGTCCGGAGTCGAATCCTCTGGGAACCAACCTATCTATTACAACTCTTAGCAATGCTATTATCAACTCAACCAATTTCTAGATGCAAGATTTTGATCAACAAAGATTGGGTTTTTTTGTTTAACTACTTCAATTAATATTAAAAACAACAATAAGCTAAAGCAAAGATGATTCAATGGTAAAAAGGTCTAGGGCAGTGATTTTCCCAATTGCTAATTTAGGCCCTGACTCTTTCGCTATAATCTCGCCGTAACACTCTATGAGGATTAAGAGCTATGGGTTATCATAATTATCTATCGATAAACTACAATAATTTACTAGAGCATTCTCTCGAACTACTCTAGCTGACAATATGTGTAGCTCTAAATTATCCCACCAAAGTTTCGTTATCTCTAAACCCACTTTTAAGTTCAAGTAATGAATCTCTTCAATTACCCAAAAGTAGTGTTGTTCAACAGCTGTCTAACCTAATATTCTTTCTCAAGCAATACAAGGTAATTAAACACGATTAATCAAGGGCCCATTCAATCAATCACCATACAAAACGTAGTTGAACAATCATATAATAAATCCGGCTCGATTATAACGAGTTGAGTCAAAACTTCAACCAACAATTGGTTCCATCAACCCTAGATAACGGGTTTAGGTACTCATACTACTAAACAAGATTACAATGTAAAACAGTTATAATCGACAATGGAATTAAGAAGAAGAAGATGAAAAACTCGTAGAGTATTCCACGTCTTGTTCCTTGTGTATTCTTGCAACTACCCAAATACCCATTCCCCTTCGTTAAAACCCTACCCCCTCTATTCTTTAAAAGGGGAATAAACGATCAGAAAAGGAGATCTCTGAATCTAAGCTAGCGTTTGGCCATAGATCCCAAATTTATTTTGAAAAATCTGATTTGGGTGAAGTTTGGTTTGAAGATGAAAATGTGTTTGGACATACGTTTTCAAAACATATTTTTCAACTTTATTTTGGAAAAACATGTATATAATTCCCAAGTTTTGGGATTTTGGCCCAAAAGCAGCTCAATATCTGATTTTGGGATTTGAAATTTGCGATTTGGGATTTGGCCAAAATATGGGCAAAAATTATGGCCAAACACGAGTTTTGAATATAAATCTCAAATTTATTTTGGCAAAACTGATTGCCAAACGGAGCCTAAGACAAAACGGTGCATTGCTCCTGGTTTTCAATACGGAAAAGGTCCAAAAATGTTACACCCCGTGTTATCGTATGTAAGAGTACGTCATAAGTCAATTAATGTGAGCTCAGAAAGGGAATCATCTTTTAAAAGTTTACAAAGTTAGTTCATCATGTTAATGTGGAGGTTAAAAATATTTAAGATCATTAGTACCAAGTAGCAAGAGGGTTTGAAGGCTTAGAAGCTAAACGAATTGAAGAAAATAAGTTTCGTCGAAAGTCGACAAGTTGGAATATTTTACCATGTACTTTTGGGGTGATACTAGGGTTATTAACATTATAACGAGATTATATTATGAGTTATTTTAGTCGTACGATAGTTGGTGTTATGTTTTGAAGTCAAGCGAGTTGTGGAACAAAAGTTGGAAAAGGTCATCACAAGTTCCATTTATAATTTGGTGACATTTAGGTCAAATGTAGATGCACTTTTCTCCCAATATACTTGGAATCAATGGATGATCTACATATCAAATTGAAGATCTACGAGTCTAGTTTCCAATGCATTAAACCGTTCTTCGATACGACATTGGGGTAGAGAGATATTTGCAGTTTTGCAAGACTGCACAGACTGTATAGTGGGCAAGTAGGTGTGTCACTAAAGCTTTTTGAGCAATACATTTCGTGTGTTATATGAGGTCTTTTTGGGACATATTATATATCAAATTGAAGGTCTTGGAATCTAGTTTCCAACACTCTTAACCGTTCGTTCATACGATATCCGGATAAAAAGATATAGGTATTTGAAAAAGGGCCAATGAGATGGTGCCAAGTAGCACCTTTTGACTTTTCAACCAAAATGGATATTTATCTTCCTATGTCGTCTCTTTCTTCATAATTCCAGAGAGCTCGACCAAATAAGACCCCTAACCTCACCCTTAAGCTGTCCACAAGGTTATCCAACAAGATTATCATCCGAGGCACAAAATCACAAAGCAATAACACCAGAACGATCCCCACGACGTGAGTATCGCTATATTGCCTCTCTTTTTCTTTGTAGTTGGAGTTTTGGAAGGTATTTAATAGTTAAGAAAATGCCTTATTTCTGTATTTAAGCTTTTAAATATGAAGGAATGTTGATAAATTCATTTCCTAATAGCTAGAACTCACGGGACGGTGATTGGAAGCCGTGAGTTCGAATTATTCGACTTGTTGTGCGCTGTTTTTGGGCTGTTTCGTGTTGGTATTGGGTTGTATCTTTTACTACTGTTTTGTGGAGTTTTGGAGGAGGAAGGATGTGGAAAAACACCATATAGATGTAGGGTTGTGGGCTGGTAGTTCTTCGTAACATTTCCGGATCGTTTGACACGACTACGGTGGC